GTTTTGGGGGGGGGGGGGTGTTAAGGATTAAGAAAGTAATGTCTTTATATCCTACAGGTGATCTGCACAAAAGACATAACGAACTCTGTACTGAAAATCATTAAATGTAAAAATTTTTTTTAAAAAATCGACACTTCATGTAACCTCTGCTAAATCCACTCCCCAGAACCTGCACGGAAGACTGCTGTTAACTCCAACGAAAGCATTTCAAACTGATCAGCACAAACGATCTATCTAATTGAAGCAGGGTTAAGATGGCGGATAACAAATGCATTTACCTCGGGGTGTCCTTGGGATTCCTGATTGTCGCAGTCATCTTGACAGGCAGCAGCACGGCTGTGGTCTTCCAGTGTACACCCTTCCAAGGATGTTTCTACCAAGGCTGGGGAGGTGAGTTGTATTTCGATAAATAGTTTGGGTGGGGGTAAATCTAATTGATACTATATTATTATGTTGGAAAAGGGGCAGGGTGGGGGGCAGGGCTTATCGGGTCTCGGAAGAGAGAGAGAGAGAGAGAGAGAGAGAGAGAGAGAGAGAGAGAGAGAGAGAGAGAGAGAGAGAGAGAGACACACAGAGAGAGAGAGAGAGAAAGGGAGAGAAGAGGGAGAGAGAGACACAGAGAGAAAGAGAGAGAGAGAAAGGGAGAGAAGAGGGAGAGAGACAGATAGACAGACGGACAGACGGACAGACGGACATCTATTTTCTCTTTGTTTTTCTCTTGTAACACGAAATAATCTAATCTTCGGCACATGTATGACCTGACCGTGTTGCAAGAGCCGTAAAACTCTCAGTAAAACCGAAACTAAAGGTAAGCTATGATATTGTGGGTCTTTGCCACTCTCCCCATAAGACTCTTTACTTTACAAAACTTAAAAAAGATTCTTGTTTCCAAACAGATGCGACCCCCCCCCCTTTCGCCCAGGGCAGTACATGTACTACTGACTGAAGTTGTCTTTAGGCCATTCCCAAAGGGGGGATATTAACATGTTCTTATACTCAGTAGAATTGTAAATGGGCTGATTTATCAAAGTCATGCTCATGCTCATACTGTGCCGAAACAACATAGGGGGAACTGCTGCTCTTTCTTTCCTCATCTTCACTATCGTCATTTCCCCTCTACTTCTTTTGTATGTTTGACACTCTCTTGTGAACGGCTATTTCCGAGGTGCCTTGATAATCGAAGCAGACTTTGTGCTGTTGAGGCTGGAGAGGTGAGCCGAGTAAGCCTGATTCACGGTTTGGATTTCTCCTCACCTTGGCGCTCATATGACCTTATGCAGTTGCGAGCGCCGTAAAACCTTACTAAAACAAACAACACATACTATTATCTTCGGCTCATATTTGACCTTTTTGTGTTGCAAGTGCTGCAAAACTCTTAGTAAAACTGAAACTAAAGGAAAACTGTAATATTATTGTGGGTCTTTGTGGCACAAGATCTGCTCTGACTATCAAGGCACCCGGGAAATAGCAGTTCACAAGAAAGTCTCAAGCATACAAAAGAGATATAGGAAAAATGGCGACAGTACGGATGAGGAAAGAAAAAGCAGCAGTTCCCCCTACGTCATTCCGGCACAACATGAGCATGACATAGAAAAATCAGCTCGTTTACAATTCTACTGTTCATAATAGCGTGTTAATACCCCGTCTTTGGGAATGGCCTAAAGACACTCCCATCAGTAGCTCTGCCAAGGTGGGTCTTTGCTCCTCTCCGCTTAAGACGTTTTATTTTACAAAACTTAAAACAGATCCTTATTTTTCCAAACAGATGCGTTCCTGCCCAGAATAGCGTCCATGTTGCTGTTTGTGTCCGCGGTATTGGGCGTGGTCTCCCTGGTCCTGCTCATCCTGTACATGGTCAACTCGGAGTACTCGGACATGCCGGGCAACACGGCCATCTGTGCTCTCCTCGCTGGTCAGTGTGTGCAATCTATATATTATATAATTTGTGAACGTTCGTCACTTTGGTCGCCTTAAACTTCTGAAATACTTAACTTTCGAATTTGAAAAACTTAACGGTGGTTCAGAATCATTTAAATTGTGCACAGTTATATTAAGGAGCCTGAAGTCACTGTAGTTTGATTTTCAGTTTTTCATTAGTTTCGTTTAGATCTAATTTTGGGAAAGTCCATCTTCAAAGACGCCATAGTAAACAAGTGAAGCTTCCGTTCACAAGCAGTAAGCACTGATCCCACAATGACTTGACGATCGATTCTTTGGAGTTTCTTTAATCGAACGGGTACCCAGTAGTAATAATAATAGATAGCATTAAATGGCCGCCAAAGTTTGGAAACTTCCATAGCCTGAGAGTCCTTGGAAACAGAAATTTACATGTTTGTGCCTTTAATCAATGTTGTTGGTTTTTTTTTGGGGGGGGGGGGGGTTAAAGCAAAATCTACAGCAAAATGTGTTTTTAAACGTACAAAAATGCCGATTTCTTTGATTTCATTATTTGACGAGCGCCTGATTTTATAACGACGACACACATTTGTATAGTGCGAATCCTCAACAGCAAGCTCTATGTGCTTCACAATCTATACTATTACCCCAGCAGACCTGAGAGCATTCTGAGACAACCTCAACTTCCTGGTAAGCATACAATGCAAGCAGACATTTATAGGCGCTAAAACACTAACTTGTAAATTGTTGAAGGATATGTGTGCGTTTGTAGATTATGCACAGTCAGCTCCGCTTGTGCTGATGAACTCACTTGAGTTGATTTTCGGTTAAGTAGATCTTTTTCTCGGGTCCCGGAAGTTATTCTTCTTTGAAGTCCGAACGGTAAGCTGAACTTTGGATTAGTTCATCTTTTATTCCATGGCCCGACATCACTATAATAAATATTATGAAAATATACATGTTTGTGTATGAGTGTGTGTGTGTGTGTGTGTGTGTGTGTGTGTGTGTGTGTGTGTGAATATCCATTTCTCATTTTTATTCCAATGTAGTGCGCGCCAAAGCGCCCAATTCGCCATGCACTGCAGAACAAATTATGTCCTTGTCTGTTCCCAAGGTATTCGCAGCCGTTAGCAACATAACTCGTGCAGTGTGAGTGGTTGGCGGGTGCTATGGTGTGGTTTGCTTCTTGTTTCCTATGAAACATCTATCGTCCTTATCTCCCCGTTTTCTTTTTTATGTTTGTAATGGACGATTTACACGTGGAGACGAAACTCCTGGGTTTTTCGCCTAGGAACGTCCTCCAAAAAATTTTCCCATTGAGTCCATCCTCCAGGTTTTTCCCTTAATTAGGGCCTGTGGTATTTAGACGCAGCGATTGGACCCAAGGACCTGTCCCTACAAGTCCAATCTCATGTCCTTTTGACCCATTTCGCGTCATTGCCATGGAAATCAATATGTCTGACGATGTTTTGGATGTTGTGCTTGCTATATGTGTATTTGCGATTCATGAAAAACGAAAGCGAAAGAGAAAACTATGGGCGAAGAAATGGTTGCTGAACTGGCCTATTTATACACACACAAACATTATGAATAAATTGCGGTAATATCCAGACGACTTAAGGAAATATTTGATAAGGAAAGAGACTACCTATCTTCACCTTCTACGAATTGTAAGCCCACGTATTGAAAAGCAGTCGACAGTAATGATAGCAGCAATAAGTCATCACTAGAGGCTGGCCGCCACTTTTCATTTCCCGGCTACAGGACGGAACTACAATGATTTGCAATTTTCAACTTGCATTTCACCATCAGCATTGTGCCAAATTATTCCAGAAACATGCCGGGTCATGTGGGATTCTCTTGTCAGAGAATATTATGAAGGTAAGAGTCAGTAGTTTTCTTGATATCTAATTCTGTTTCTATCTCTTTATTTTTTAAACTCTAAGCTATTATGATAAAGACATTCGTCATCATAAGCGTTCCCATCATCATTATTGTCATCATTATTATCATAACCGCCAAGATCATCTGTGTTTTATGTTTTATTATTTGTTTTTTAACAGCTTCATTAGTGTACAATTTTGTTTGTGTGGCTGTGACACGAATTGCCACAAAAGCTACTCTTATTTGTCATAGCAAGGTAGCTAGTTACGTGTGTACTAAACATAATATGGAGGGTCCACGGACCGGCGTCGGTGGTGGTTCTAGCCCGCTCTGCGACAGAAGTGTCCGACCGAGATCCACTACCTCGGTGTTACTGCTGAACATTATTGTCTCCCCCGCCGGGATGGCCCCGACAGGCAGGGTCGAAGTGCCCGTCTCTTGTTATGACCTTACAGTGTTGCGAGGGACCTTAACACAACAATTCACAAAGAGTCCAAGGGAAGAATGATCGTACTCACAAAGAGCAAAATATTAGAAAAAAAGATTTTTAAAGTTTAAAGTCTAGAGCTATTTTTTATGGACTGCTACTTTTGGTTGCCACACAATGCGTGACTATATTCTTTTATGAACTGAAAGTCGTTAGTACAAGCAGCTAGCCGCACTGAGCAATTTGTGAAGGGGTTTACCGTTATTTTTCTTTTCCGATATTGTGACTACGATCGTTCTTTCTGTTTTCTCCATACAACAAATATCAGCTCGCGACCAAAAACCACAAGCAACTTTTGTAGCCATTTAGTTGTGTAGATCCATTACACGCTGTCACTGGAGGAATATCTGACAACAAAAGAAAAGCAAAGGTAAACTTTTATTGAAAATGAGAATTACTTTAATCAAACTGAACTGCATCATGTGAACGGTACACCTCGGTCATCGGAGGAGGCTGTTGAGGCTGCTCATATATCATTCTGTGGATGATGGCAGTATTCCGAGACAACGTTCCTAATTCAGCCTCATACATTACGTCCGAGATCAGCTTCTGAGCATGAACTCTTTGATCCCGGGCATACTTCTCAGCTTATGACCAAAGGTCTTCGAAAATGTGTCAAATTCATCCTCCTCATGTACCTTGTTGTTGCTGAGGAGCCTGCTTTTAGAAAGTGTTAGCAGCTCATTTTCAATATCGGCAGCTTTCCTTTTGGTAGGTCTGGAGCTGCTGCTACTGCTGCCTGCGCCCTGTGCAGTGGTTCGAGTCGGTTGAGGAGTGGTCGAACGGCTTCCGCTTGCCGGAGTCTGAAGATCAGCTGTGAGCTAGGGCTAGGACTATCTCTCGCAACATCCAACAGTGTGAAGGTTGGCCCCTAAAGATTAAATAAATTGTTTTGAAGTGCAGGAGAAAATATTAAGGCATAACATTGGATAGTTCACAAAACATCGTCAAACTATTCCATTAATTTGAATTAACCCCTATTTTTACAGTTTCCCTCAACCAAAGAAGAATGGTTACAAGAGGTTCAGAACTTTGAGGACAAATGGCAGTTTCCCAATTGATGGAAAACCTGTTACTATTTCACCTCCACCAGGTTCTGGCTCCTACTACTTCAAGTATAAAGGGTTTCACAGCATGGTGTTAATGGCAGTTGCTAATGCAAATTATGAACTGCTATATGTGAGTTTCAGTACAAATGGCAGAGTGTTTGATGGTGGCATCATAGAAGGCACAGATTTCTATCATAAATTGCTTGCTAAGAGGTGATTTGAATCTCCCGCTGCCCAATCCCAAGAGCAGCCTGCCTTATGGTTTTATTTCCGATGAAGCGTTTGCCTTGCGAGAAGACTCTTTAAAGTCCTACAATGTGAGAGTCCTGGATTATCATAAACGTATATTCAACTATCGACTGCCTCGAGTATATAGAGTGGTTGAGAACGTGTTTGGAATTCTGGTGTCGAGGTTTGGGGTGCTGAAATCGAAAATAAATCTACAACCCCATAACATTGATGCTGTTGTATTTTCTAAGAAAAAATGCCACTGAAATGTACACTCCAACTGAGTCTGTGGATTATGAGGACCCCACTACCTATGAAGTAAGAGATGGCCTTCGAGTTGAAGAACCTTGTGGTGCTTCTCTTTCTATTGGGCACCCAAGATATGCATCACAGGAAGCAAAACATGAGAGAGACAAGTTCATGAGTTTTTTCAACAATGAAGGAAAGGTGCCATGGCAAGAAAGATACGTTTTTGGATAAGAAAAACGACCTGATAGCTTATTCTTTTATTTGAAAAAGGAAAAATAGTTTTTGAGGAGACATTTCACTTGTGCTGTATGTTTTTGTGTCACATAAAAGAATCATGAAAATATATTTATCATACATTTATACTTTTAAAATGTTCTCTGTCTGTTACATCTAGTCTGTTAACAGAAGAAAAAGAACGTTTAAAATTTGGCGACTAGCAATTTGGCGACTAGCAATTTGGCGACATGCAATGTTAAGAAATAATTAACTACACACAAAGTGAACGATGGTTTTCGTTGTGCTCATAAGGCATGCCATTTAAGAAAATAAACATGTTGACTTTTAGTCGATGTCTAAATCAGTCACTATTCTTTCACAAACGAGCCTATAGAAGGAAAAAATTGTGATACTATAATTTATAGTATTAACGTAAAGGAGATTGCGTTTGTGTTAATGAGTCTTATTATAGCTTGTTCACTAACTTCGGTCCGCAGTTGAAACGGGGACAAGATCAGATCCCTTTGTCCAGTTTTCTCAACACTTTGCTCGTGATTTCATTTTTTGCATGACCAACAGAATCTAAGAACTCATCATTGAAATCAACGTCAAAATGTGGGGAGAGTGCAGTTGTATAGAATAGGCTATAAGACTGTGAGATTAATGTAAATCATTTTAAAGACTGGTCCTGCCTTTGAATGAAAATGACAGAATTTTATATCAGTTCCTAAGAAAGAAAATTTCTTATTCTTGGATAAAGACTACTAAAGTAAACATTTTTGTTTGGTCATGTACCTATACTACCTTGCAAAGTTTGGGAAATATTGACACAGTAATAGAAGAGCTAGAGCTTTTTTACGAAGGTGGACGAAAGTGAGCGAGCTATAGTTATGTAATAAATTTAGATCTTCGAAAGCTGGAAAACATACCTCTGCAATATCTTGCTCAATATAGGACAGTGATGGCCGTGGAACTTCTTGGACTCTCAAGAACTCCAAAGCATTGAAATACCAGTTTTGGCTCCACTTCATCTGCACCCGATCCTGAAAGTGAAAGCTTCAAGGCATCCAGTTTCTTCAGAAGCTTTCGAAAAGAATTTCGCAGATTGTTAAACTTTTCTTATTATAAAATCCTTGTCAGCTTTAGGTTCGATGGATTTAACAAAAGCCACTATTTTTTCAAAAGCATGCTTTCGAGTCAGTCTATTGCTATAGTCTTTTGATTTCACCTTCCATAGACACTCATGCGAACGGTATTCTTCAATGTAGCTCAAAATGTTTTCCTTTGACCACGTTGCCATGTTGATTCTCGCTAGTACTAGCCTAGAGCTGATGCAAAGGCTAGTTATGTGTTTATAGTGCCGTCAAAAATTCGTGGTGCGATTTATCCTCAAATATCTCTTTAACGGGTGAATCAATACCACACATACTTTGCATAGCAGTTTGCATCAATTTGTTTCAACTAAATCATATTTTATATTTAAAAAACAACACTTTTCTTCATAAATTTATAAAATACTTGAAATCTCTGTCAGGCGTAAAATTGTTCACAGCACTTCATGCTTCTCACACACATTTTGATTACGTATATGGCCTACGTCACACCTCATCAAAGACAGTTTTTACTTGCGAAACTTGTTACAACAAATTATTGTTATAGTGAACACATTTTTGCACTGATGGCTCTCAAAACATACGCTCAATAAGCATAATGTCACGATTAGAAAAACCAGACGGACTTGCTATTAAAAGCTATATTGCCCCAGCTGTAAACATATAAAAATCTGTAGAAACCACTCACTTTGACTTTTTATTAGTATTTATTGAGGAATTTTCTAGAATATAGCTTGCAGGTGTTTACAAAAATGTTTATCTGTTAAGACAAATTGATGCAAGGCACTGTGCAAAAATTGGAGAACCAGTGTTCGATAGTTGAGGAGATATTTGAAAATAAGTCGCACCATGAAATTTTGACAGCACTATAGTGTGTTCAGTAGTTGAAACAACACGTGATTTTTTCCCCTTTTTAATGAGGCAAGAAAAAGTGATCTGAACGCGAGGACTTTGCTAAATTTGGGTCGCTGATCACGAATATGCAATTGGTTTTTTTAAACATTTGAACTTAAAAAACCCCAACATTTTGTTTGTTTGAAAATGCACCTCCGCATAGCCCGTGACGTCACGAAAACTGGAAATGTCAATCACCGACCGCCGCCCGACGTGCCGACGGAGGCTGGGACCCTAAAAATATCAAGCACTGTTTGATATCAGGGATCGGCCCTGACGGACGTACATTTTGTCCCTCCTGCCTAGAGTTCTACCTCCAACACCAAAGTTCGTCCCTCAGGACATGGGATTGGACCTCTAGGGACAGATCCTGGGGTCCAATCGCTGCGTCTAAATTCTCTTTTACTCTCTTGTAACACCTCTAATCTCCTGGCGCTCATATTATGACCTTATGCAGTTGCGAGCGCCGTAAAACATCTACTAAAACTAAAACTCGTACAGTGTGACACTACACGTATCGTATAACAATAAGATTTTTCGTCGACTCTCAGGGTCGACTCTCAGGGTCGACTCTCAGACTACCACTCCGTAATCTGCAATCATCACAATTAACATCATCCTCCTTTGGGAGAAAAGTGAACTTTGGCCCTTCCTATTATGAAAATTATCTGACCTGCACAGTCAGGCTCTTCTTCTTCCTCTTCTCTTTCTCTCTCTCTTTCTCTCTCTCTCTCTCTCTCTCTCTCTCTCTCTCTCTCTCTCTCTCTCTCT